AGAAAAGACACTTAGTCCCGTCGCACATGGAGCTATCCATAAAAGACGAAACTGAGTAGAGACGACAGTTAAAAACTAGTTGATACTCAATTCTCGTACACGAGGGGACGGGACGAGGATCGAAAATAAACGCGTTTGTTCAGTGTAGTATATGCAAGCTTGGTCATTCATTTCGTTTTTCGACATTTCACTACACAAATTTCGAAAAAAATCTCCAACAACCTCGCGCGACCGACGGTTCGAGTCTCTTGGCGATTTATCACTAACCAGTAGCGTACGGGTCGGCGACTAGTAGCGCCGTGTGCGACATTCGATTTGAATACACATGCCGTGGACTGGCAAAAGACTGTCAAGTGATTATAGTTTAATTTCAGTTTCATACTAGTAGCTCCGTGTGCGACGGGCCTTAAAGAAAATTCTAAAAGATTCTATTCGAGAATAAAGAAAGTTATTCAATTTGTGACTTTACCGACGTGTTTAGAACTTCAATCAAAGACCAGGGAAGATATTTGAAGAGAGTTTGAGGGAAATTCCAGAACAGCCTGTATGTGCCTATTACGAGACAACAAGCAAAAATGAAAGAACAAAAACTTGAAGAACTTCTGCCTAAAATGTTGGAACTTCGAGAGACCAAACGACAACAAGAAAAACAAGACGAGGAAGTTAAACGACAACAAGAAAAACAAGATGAAGAGGCCAGACGACAGAGAGAAAAGCAAGAAGAAAAAGTTAAACGACAAACAGAAAAACAAGAAGAAGCTAAACGACAACAAGAAAAACAAGACGAAGAGGCCAGGCGACAAAAAGAAAAACAAGAAGAAGAAGCTAAACAACAACAAAAAAAACAAGACGAAGAGGCCAGGCGACAAAGAGAAAAACAAGAAGAAGAACCTAAACGACAACAAGAAAAACAAGATGAAGAGGACAGACGACAAAAAGAACGGCAAAAAGACTTTGGACAACTACAGATAATATTTCAAACTATACACGGATTTGTCGCTAACCTAGAACCAAAGATCACGGAAGTAAAAGCCGAAGTTAAAGACGATGTTCGAGAAGTTAGAGACAATGTTCAAGAAGTTAAAAACGATGTTCAGCAATTAAGACAAGAAGTTGAGGACCAAGTTCAAGCACTTGAAGATAAGGTGAATAAATTAGAAATACAGTCCATCAATATAATAATAATAATAATAATAATGTTTATTTACAGCAATATTTACAATAATAACTATCTCTATCCTACATCACTTCAAGCCGAAATAAACATTTCAAAGGCATTCTAAAGCCTTAATGGCTTGTTTGCCCAAAAATGTTTGATTTGATGTCTCAAAGTGGTGGATTAAATCAACTTGCAAATCGGTATCAGTGTATTTTTGGAAAATAGTGTGAAGCCGTTAAAATAGGTAGATAACTAACATAATAATTGAAAAAATCTATTAAAGCCGCCCATGAAGAAAAAAAAATTAATTAAAAATAAGAATTAAAAAAAAAACAATATTTTGTATTTTAGAATGCCGCTAAGCATTTCAATAACCGATCCAAAACTAAAATGAAGAAAAAAATCAAGAAAAAAGAAAATACTATATCTATATATACATACTTCCCTACCCCTATCCAGCACACACATTGTTACAGTTTAGGATTAAATTATATGTTTTTTATTGTGTCAAAGTGAGGTAATATCTAATATCAGGTAATGTTGTCATAATCGGGGAAAAAAAAATATGTCATAATTCAGAGTTGTCATAATTTGGGTTATTTTGTTTATTCATTTTTCAATTTACTCTTAAATGTTTTCTTTTTTTTTTATTATTATTATTATTACTTTTTTCTATTGTTCTTTATATAGGTAATTCAATAATATATAATGATATTTTGATCCTAATTTACACGTTGTGAAAATTCTTGATATCTATCCAGCTATGTATAATTTTTCTCGGTACAGTTATCAGCCATTCTTTAATTTTTTGTTTAAATTTTTTTAAAGTATTCAAATCTGAAATATATTTCGGAAGGGTACTGTATATTTTTGGACCCAAATAATAATAGCTTCTCTGGGTTACTGTTTTGTCGACTTTTGGGACTCTGTAGGTTATTTCGTTCTTTCGGGTATTGTAATTATGTTCCACTTTAACTAAACTTGTTTTATGTTTATGTTGTCGGACTGCTAGTGCAAGAGTAAATAATTTTCTTACATCGAAAAATTCTGTTTCTTCAAAAAGTAATTCGGAAGAGTAACGATATGGCTTATTGTAAATTATTTTAATGCACCACTTTTGTACTTTTTCTAAACTGTCTAAGTGAATATTTGTTGTTCCGCCCCACGCCACAATTCCATATGATAAATGGGGTTCTACAAGAGCTTGATATAGCATACGTAACTGTTTTATTTTAAAGAAAGTTCTTAAATGTTTAAACCTATGCAATAGCGACCTTATTTTATTTGTTACAAATTTTATATGTGCATCCCAGCGGAGGTGAGCATCGATGAAGATACCGAGATATTTTATTTTAAGAGTTTTTTCTATTGACATTGGTGGACAATCACAGCTTTCATTATGATATAAGTTTAGTTTATCGAATATAGGTAGATTATTGGCATATGAAGTGAAAGGCAAAAAGTAAGTTTTAAAAAAATTCATTTTGGTAAGAAAATGTATAACTTTTCCGGTTTCTTTTTCGGCCTTGTCTTTCAAAGTTTCCCAATTATTCGCTGTCAAATAGATTGCCGTGTCGTCCGCAAAGCTTAGAACTTCTCCGTCTATATCAAGTTCGAAAAGTCGATGTAGATAAATGTTAAACAAAATCGGACCTAACACTGTCCCCTGGGGGACTCCGTATGTAATAGTTTCTGGATCGCTGGATTCTTCTTGTAGAGTAACTATCTGGGTTCTTTGTTCCAGGTAATCTTCGAACAGTTGATGAGCCTTTCCGGTTATTCCTATATTGTTTAATTCATCAAGTAGTTGCTTATGTCCGACTGTGTCAAAAGCTTTTGATAAATCTAGGAATACTGCTAGTGATGGTTGTCTTTTTTCTATGCTTTTGTGTATACGTGTAGTCAGAAACTGTATAGCATCTTCCGTGGATTTTTGTTGTCTAAAACCAAATTGGTTATCTGAAAGAATTTTTTTATTTTCCAAATATTCATCCAATCTTTTTTTTATAATTATCTCTAAAATTTTTGTGAAGTTTGTGATTAACGATATCGGCCTATAATTTGAAACATTGTTTTTTTCCCCGGATTTAAATAGTGACTTTATTAATGTAGTTTTGAAAGAGCTTGGAAATGTTCCTGAGGTAAAAGATTTATTTATGATTAATTTCAATGGTTCTGTTATGTATTTCGAGATTTTTTTTATTAGTTCGCTTGTAATGCAGTCTATTCCTGGAGCTTCCTTATTTTTTAGCTCCCTAATTGTTTGTTGTATTTCTTTTTTATTAGTTAATTTGAGTGTAAATTCCTTTCTTGGTTTATTTGTAGGTGCCGCTGCTGTCTGCATAGTTTCTCTCATACTCGATTTACATTTTTTTATATTTTGAACCAAATCATATCCAATGTTTGTAAAAAAATTTGCAAATGTGTTTGTGATTTCTTTTGTATCCTTAATAATTTCGCCAGTTTGACTTTTTAACTCATTTATCACAGTTTTTTTGTTTTTTGGACATATTTGATTAATGATATCCCAAATTGCTTTTGAATCATTTTTGCTTGTTTCAATTTTCTTTTCATAGTATTCAAACTTTGTTTTTTTAATCAATTGGTTTAATGAATTTCTATGATTTGTGTAGGTATTCTTATTTAGTTCTGTTGGATTTTCTACTTTATTTTTATATAAAATATTTTTTTTTTAATGGATTTTATAAGTGCTTTGGTAATCCATGGTTTTTTTTTATGTAGGTACTATTTGAATTTTTATTATTTTTGTTGAGTCAGTTATGTGGTTTTTTATTGTTGAAACAAAAATTTCTGTAGCCTTGTTAATATTTTCTTCCCGAAAAAAGTTCTCCCATTTTTCGTTTTTGATTTTCTTTATAAATAATTTTTCATTGAATATTTTTTTATTTATGTGTGTTTGTGTAGTTTTTATTTTGTGTCTAGAAAACGTGAGTTGTAATAAGGTTATATAATGATCTGTTATGTCTGAATCAAAGACAATCGGAATGCAATTTTCATAATAAAAATTTGTTTTTTTCTTTAAAAATATGTGGTCGAGACAGCTAGGTTTTCCGTTTTGTACCCTAGTTCCCCTCTTGATATAGTAAGTTTAGGTAATCCTCGACAATTTTATTGCTATCTAAAATATCTATGTTTATATCACCCAGTACAAAATGAACATCATATTTTTTTTCGCAATTTATTAAGTAGTCTGAAAAATTATTAAGAAATTCTTGTTCATTTGTTAAAGGCGAACGATAAATTCCTGTGATCAAAAAAGAATCGTTTTTGTAATTTATAGACATTTCAAGACAATTTTGTTCTCCTATTTTTAAAATTTTGCAAGAAAATGGAATTGTTTCTTTAAGATATATCACGACTCCATCATGTAAATTGAAATCTCCTTTGCTCTACAACAAATTGAATCCCCTTAAATTATGTACTGCTATGTCGGGGATCATAAAGGTCTCTGTTAAAACAATACAGTCAACGTTAGGTGATATTTGTTGTAAGGTTATCCAAAATTCGGCAAAGTTCTTGTTTAGGCTTCGTATGTTTTGTTGAATTATTATAAAATCTGAATGATTATTTTGGATTAAGGTACCCTTACAGTCATCTATGGTTTTAGTTACAATAGTCTCAATGTGATTTGTTGCGAAGAGCTGGACATATTTATCTATTTTATTTCCTTTTCAAACTACAACAATATGTGAGCTTTACATAAAATGAATTCGCGCTTAAAACTAGTAATATCTGAATAAAAGAATGAAGAAATACCCGTTCCCTCTCCCTTCCCTTCAAACCAATTAAATTAAAAAAGTATCAAGCAATTACAATATTCTTAATAGTGCTTTTTCTTCTTCTTATGTGCTCTTGTTTTAATTCCTTCAGGAGATGGGGTGTTCTCCTTCCTCTTCTTCCTCTTCTTGTTGTCAATAGACAGCTTTTCTGATAATACTGCTCCGTTTCTGTTGGTTTCTTGATCTGTTTCCTCTCCGGTATCCTCAGAACCACTACTGTCTGTGTGGATCTCTGAAAGAGTCTCCAATTCCTTGGCCGTGTATAGTGTATTATTTATTTCGAGCTTGAAACCTTTTATTCTTGCTTCCTTTCCCTCTTCCCTCGCTTCCCTTTGATGCTTTTTCAGTATTTTTAGATCTCTCCTATCTTCCTCGCACAAATCATTTGCTATAGCGTAGTCAGTATCTTTTAAATTCCTGAGCTTTTCTGGGTTTTTGAAAAGCTCCGACTTTTTCAGATATGATAAGAACTCAATAAGTATAGGAGCTGATTCCCGCCGTCCAACTTTGTAGATGTTGTTAATATCGTTTGTTTGAATATTTAGTGAAAATAGCTCGTTTATTTTAGTAAGAGTATCTGTTATTAGGCTGTTATTGTTTTCGACTTTGAGACCAAACAAAAGTATGTTGTTCCGTCGAATTTTCCTTTCCAGAATAATGTTTCTCTCTTGTACGTTTGCCAACTGTTGGCTTGATTTCCTTATTTGGTTCCTAAGATTCTGTTCGCTACCTTTAATTTGGTCTGTGAGTGAGGCAGTTTGTTTTTTGTTTTGCTGTGAGAGGAGTTCAAACATCTCACCAAATGATGTTGGCTCCCCCATTAAAGCGTTTGGTACGATGTCGAATGTTTGTGGTAGGGATCGTTGCGACGTAGTTCTACTATAGCAGTGAGAGTGGTACTGATTCCGTATTCGGCGTATTTCGTGTTGCTTCTGGTTTCTTGCTTTTGGCGACTGACCAGCTTTGGGAGGAGAGGTGGTTCCACCCGATGCATGCAAATTTCGACTTTATGTTATCAGCTGTTCACCATAACGCGCTTTTCTGTTTTCTGATAAATACTAATTAATTGAGATATGTGCAGCCTACCTTCAATATATCAGTATCGTGGAAACTTCAGGGAACTTTTGGTACCACTTGAATGTTTTAATCTGCACTTTAAACTAGTTAAATTTATGTCTTTACAAGAGATAAACACATATATTTTATTAGACATCAAAGCTTTAATGCAGTTAGTGTTGGAGCATTCTCTAGTATGAAGACAAAACCACCAACTTTTGACGGTTCTACGTCCTGGACATGTGTATCCGACAATTTGAAGCTGCTGCAAATACCAACGGATGAAACGATCAAGAAAAAGCAACAGCACTGACAGTGGCGCTACGAGGACCTGCCTTAGATCTTCTTCAGTCCATTCCTTCAATCTACCAACAGAACTACCAGCAGCTAAGGCAGATATTAGAATTGCGCTTTGGAGACCATTACAGACAAGAAGTATTAAGAACTCAAGTTAAATCAAGAATTCAAAAACCTGGCGAGAGTTTACAAGAATTCGAATCGGAAGTTAAAAGGCTAGTGAGTTTTTCGTTTCCTTCAGCATGGGAAGACATGCAGGAATGGATGGCAGTACCTGCGTTCATTGATGGTCTCAGAGATTCCAAGATCCAGGAAAACCTGAGATTGTCTAAGTTCAGACAAAGTAGCGAAGCCCTTGTCCGAGCATTGGAACTGGAAGCAATCTTTGGTGCCTCGCGACCTAGACTACGAGCAGTGTCCATTGAAGACCGAAAGAAAAAACAATCTTCAAAAGAAAAGGGTAGTTTCGAAAACGTTATGAGTAATTTCATGAAGGAAATTAAGAAAGTACTACTAGAAGGTAGACAAACGAGCAACGACTACAAACACCAACACCGAGAATGTTCCGGTGTCATAAGCTTGGACATATGCAATGGGATTGTAGAGTAAGGATGTCCTCTCTAACTAAGGATCGCTCGCAACGCTTTTCAAGATCTAGAAACGCCAGCCCTAATAACAGACAGGAACCAACTAGTACGGAGGGGCGGATGATGGCTAGTAATGACGAAGCCCCCAGGGTTGTTTACATAAAATTATTCGGCAGTCATTATAGAGGATTAAAATTCGAAAGACAAATTATTGGAGAATTTCAAACCATCACTTTTGATACGGGTGCTGCAATAATTAGAAAAACATTAGTCAAGTCTCGGGCAATCCAACCACTCACTAGAAACCTGCCACTACGAACAGTCACTGGCGAATCAGCACCAGTTCAAGGAGAAGCTATAACTGATCTTACCTTCAGGTACAGAACATTAGTCGCCGATACAGAAGATGATTTTATTTTGGGAATGGATTTGATCGGCCAACATGGTTTCTCTTTCGATCCTTCTATGAACATCTTTAAATTTGGTAATGAAGAATTTGTCCTAACTACACAAGAAGAATCCCAAGCCGTTTAGATCCTGGCCACAAACCCAGTGAGGATTCCTAGAAGTACTGAGAAGATCATTTGCGGAAAATTGGAAACAAACCTTGGGTGCTGCGTTAGACTAACACATAATTTTGTTGGAGATAAACCAGAAAAATTTCTCGTTGGAAAGACTCTAGCATCTTACTAGAGTAGACATTATGATAAGAATTGCCAATGTTTCTTCTGAAACAGTAAAAATAAAGGGAGGAGATATCAGAACTCTCGAACCAGTTAAGCAAATATCGAACTGTGACCTACCAGATAACCGACATTTTGAAAAATCGAAATTGGATACCGACACCTTGATACAGACTAAGAAATCATGGAAACACCGCGATCCAGTTAGACTTCAAGAAGCCACAGATTTAATCCTGAAAAAAGCAGACGTAGTTGTGATGGATAATCAAACTGGACGGACCAGTTTAATTCAACAAAAAATTGATACGGGATTAGCACACCCAATTAGACAACCACCTCGACGTATGCCAGTAGCTAAACAACAGGAAGTGGAAAACCATATTGATAAAATGCTTCAAGAGGGAATTATTGAAGAGTCGAATAGTCCATGGTCTGCGGCAGTAGTATTGGTTACGAAGAAAGATGCGAGTCTTAGATTTTGTGTGGACTACCGAAATAGACGATACATCAACAACTCTATTAGGCTCCAAATGGTTTTCCATCTTGAATCCCAAAAGTGGATACTGGCAAGTGGCAATACACAAAGATGACAAAGAGAAAACTGCCTTCAGTACCGGAAGCGGGTTATACCAGTTTAACGTGATGCCTTTCGGATTGTGTAGTGCTCCAGCTACGTTTGAGCGACTGATGCATCTTGTTTTGCGGGGCCTTGCTTGGAGAACTGGCCTGGTATATTAAGATGATGTCATGATCATGGTAAATTCGTTTCAAGAACATCTAAATAACCTGAAAGAAGTTTTTGACCGCTTTCGGAATGCCAACTTAAAACTCAATCCAAAGAAGTATTTTCTATTTCAAAAGAAAGTGGCATTCTTAGGTCACGTGGTATCTGAAGAGGGCATACAAGTTATGGAAGGAGAGATAGATGCTGTCAGGAATTAGCTAAAGCCACGCGACAAACATGAACTAAGGAGTTTTCTGGGATTTTGTTCTTACTATTGAAGACTTGTGGAAGGATTCGTTAATAAAGCTGCTCCGCTTCATCGATTAACGGAAGAAAAATCAACATTTAATTGGACCCAAGAATGCGATTCCGCTTTCAGAAAATTGAAAGGAGCATTATGTACGGGCCCAGTGTTGTCCTATCCCGATTAGAAAGGCATGTTGATTTTGGACACAGATGCAAGCAACACCAGTATTGGAGCTGACCTTTCAGAAATCCAAAACTCACAAGAGCATGTCGTACAGCAGAACCTTATCAAAGCCGGAACGAAATTATTGTGTCACCAGAAGAGAACTGCTTGCCATTGTAAATGCAGTCGACATTTCCATAAATATCTCTACGGCCGTAAGTTTCTAATTCGAACAGATCACGCGGCTGTAAAATGGCTTTTAGAAATAAAAACTCCCGAAGGACAGCTTGCTAGATGGATTGAGAAATTGCAGCAATACGATTTCTATATTAAACATCGACCTGGAAACCCACATAAAAATGCTAACGCTCTGTCTAGACGGCCTTGCAAAGAAGACTGCAAGCATTGTGAAAGAATCGATATGCATGACAAAAACACTGGTCCGGCTGTGAGAAGAACGGGTTTATCGTCGATGATAAATGGACTACCAAACAAATGAGAGCAGATCAAGAAGCAGACCAGGACATCGGACAAATGCTAGATCTTAAGGAAAATGATGAATGTAGGCCAGAAAGGAGGGAAGTGTCGAACAAGGATTTACAATGCGTTGTGGGGTCAGTGGAACTCTCTGGCCGTAGAAAATGGTTTACTTAAAAGAGTTTGGGAAAGTGTCGATGGGAAATCCACTAAGAGCCAGCTGGTTATTCCAAAAGATCGAGTAGAAGATGTATTAAAATAAATACATGATGGAACTTCAGGGGCACATTTTGGAGTTAACAAGACTTTGGACAAAATTCGGGAACGTTTTTACTGGGTTCACTATCATGAAGACGTTAAAAACTGATGCCGAAAATGCGACATCTGTGCTACTAGTAAAAGCCCTAAACTAATATCTCGGAGGCCCATGAAACAGTACAACGTCGGTCTCCCATTTGAACGAATAGCGATAGATGTTGCCGGACCGTTTCCTGAGTCAAAGCGTGGTAACAAATACATCTTGGTTATTATGGATTACTTCAGTAAATGACCAGAAGTTTTCGCTATTCCCAATCAAGAAGTTATCACGATTGCCCAGGTGCTAGTGGACGAAGTTTTCAGTCGTCATGGTGTGCCACTAGAGTTGCATTCAGATTAGGGACGAAACTTCGAATCATTCATAGGACAAGGAAAACACCTTTAAATCCACAGTCTGATGGCATGGTAGAACGATTTAAAAAGACCATAGAGGAACACCAAAAGTGGTCGCAAGGAACCAGCGAGATTGGGACAAACACTTTCCTCTATTTTTAATGGCTTACAGAGCAGCTTTTCACGAGTCAACAGGTGAAAGTCCAGCTAGAATCGTTTTTAAAAGGGAACTCAGGTTACCTTGCGATCTGATGTTTGGAATACCTGAAGAAGAACGAAAAGAAATTCGAGATTATGCTGACGAAGTAAGGGCACGACTTCTGGGAATTCACGATTTAGCTCCGAAGCATATTCAGCTGGCCAGTGACCGAATGAAGACCAGATACGACTTGAAAGCCAATTCAGCCGGATTTCAGAAAGGTGATTTAGTGTGGCTGTATAATCCAGCAAGAAAGAAAGGAGTGTCGCCGAAATTGTCTTCAGCATGGGAAGGACCCTACAGAATAATCAAGAGGATTAATGATTGGGTTTATAGAGTTCAGTGCGACACCAGAAGTTGATCGGGACTCGGGACAATCAATATTAAAAGGAGGGCAGTGTAACAGAATTTATGTGTGCCTCCGCCACATCAGATTATCGCGTTTATTCTGGATTTTACATGAATAGATTTACGGACATATAAAGGCCGGTATTAGTTAGTAGTTTTGAGTTTAAGATTGGTTGTGATATGATTTAGATAGTGAGTATTGTAAAGTTTTAAAGAGTTGAGTTATTTGAGTTAATTAGTGAAGAGATTAGTGTCAGAGTGTATAGTAACGTGGAATAAATTATTGTTGTGTTAATTGTACTTTGATTTTGGAATAAACGAACCCAAGATTTCTGTCACGCTTCCCAGAGCCGTGACAATTATATGCACAGGCGGTTAGTTTTCGAGATA